GGTAGTCAAGTTATTCGACGCTGTCCAACCCTCTTGTCACGTGGCGCCTGTAGAAACAACTGGCTCCTCACAGAACATGTCATCTATCAGAGCGTAGCAGGGATTACACACTCTTACAAGTTGATAATAACCAAAGGCTGGAATTCTGAACAAAATAAAACATTATTTGCTTATCAAAATTGCTCTTCGATGTTCAAACTAACAGCGCGTGCGAGTGTCATAATATCACTGTAAGAAAGTTTGGAAAATGTGAACTCCCCAGTTTCCTGAGTGAAACCACCGAGGCAAAGAAGGAATCTCTACATGGAACTGAGGGTAGAACACCCATCTTCCCTAAATTCCTTTCTGTACTGCCCAACTGAAGCCAAGGAGGAGTTAATTTCAATTCCGGAGGGGGCTAAAATAAACGTGAGGGACGCCTGTCCGGTGTTACATGGCTCTAGTTGTTTGTCGTTATAATAACTTAGACTCTCTTATAGTCACCTCCCAGACAAGAACAATTTCTTGACTCATTTGCGGCTTCACAGACGCAAGGTAAAGATTTCTCTTTCGAACAGCAATGAATCAACTTACGGCGTTGACTGATCCGTGCAGTTGTGACAGAAAACACGACCGCAACATCGACAGTGATGGCGTCTTCTTGTCTGAAAAATAAAGAGGAAGATATGCAAAATTTAAGACTGATTCAATTGACCGGTCTGGCAGTCAACTAACCAACTAACCACTTACAACAACAGCCGAAATACTACAGACTGTTTACGATTCAAATCCCAGAGTTGATTTTAGGTATGCTTTGAGCACCAAGATTCGCTTTGAGAAATAGACTTAAAGTGATTCGGAAATGGCCTGTTTTCCGTAGTCTCATTGCATACAAAATGTCCAGTAAGGTGTGGAGAGGAACTGTTTCATCATGTTATATCAAGCAATTCAAAGGGTTTCAAACATCGCGCGCACATGTAGTACTCTTTTCTATTAAACAATTAAATTATGAACTCGAGGTTTCTATCGCGTAATAGTTGACGAGGGCGCAGCCCTCGTCAACTATCACGCATAGAAATTGAGAGCGAATAATCTAATTGTTTTAGTATAAATCTGCGAGTCGTTCAAAACTTTATCCAAATCCTCTTCACAGACACTTCGAAAACGCCAAGAAGCGGTCGTCATTTCGTTCATTTCGTTTCACAGAATACATAGTGAGTAGCGTAACCAATCAGAGAACGCGTCGTGATAGAACGCTAGTAGACTTATACTAGCAGCAATAAGCATAAATCTACAAGCGTTTCTACCACGAATGCCATTCTCTGATTGGCTACGCTTCTCACTATCTATTCTTTGCGTTTTCGAGGTGTCTGTGAAGAGGATTCAGATATCATCATCATCATCATCATCATCATCATCATCATCATCACAAACTTTATTTACCCCCGAATTTACAGAGTAGCATTGCTGCTAATAACGTTTTGAACGACTGACTAGTAGCTTTACACTAAAACCGCCCTAGTCAACTATCACGCGATAGACATCTCGAGCTCATAATCTTATTGTCAAATAGAAAACGGTAATAGAGCCAATCAAATTCACATATTCATATTAGACTTAATATTATATAATGCCAAACAAACCTGTGTGAAGGGTTCTCGAGCTCATAATCTTATTGTCAAATAGGAAACGGTAATAGAGCCAATCAAATTCACGTATTCATATAAGACTTAAATATTACATAATGCCAAACAAACCTGTGTGAAGGGTGCTCGACACTTGTTGTTGGAACAGTAGTTGACAAGCTGCAAGAAATATCTCAGCTGTTTTAGACCAACATCCTTAATCCCAGTATAAGAAATTTTTTACGATAACTGCAGAAATTCACGCGCGCTCATTGGCTAATTTTCATTGTAAATAAGCGGACAGACACATGAATTTATTATTTATGCGATACGTCAACGGGCGAGAGCGGACAATTTGACAATTTGTTATCGTAAAAAACAAAGTGACGTCAGTTTTTTGTGCGCCTGTCCTGTTGTTGACAATGAATTTCTTCATAACATTGTCAAGGTGGTCTACGGATCCACTCGGCTATCGCCTCGTGGACCCCCAGCTACTTTGACAATGTTAAGACGAAAACAGGACAGACGCATGAAAAACAGACGTCAATTTGTTAAAAAGACCTCTCAATACAGCACTTGGAATCACTTACCTCATCCGGGACCCACGATAATCTGAATGTATTCTGAAGATGGAGTACCTCGGCCCGGTCCCTCTCTGCTTGATTAAGCCGTGCGTTTGCCTGAGGAATGGAAACAAATTCTTTTAGAAGTTACCAAGAACGCAAGAACTATCAAACTAATTAGTTTATTGTGACAGAGCTCATTTAAAGGGGTGAGGGCCCTGGTACATCACAGGGGTACAACTTCTGTGGGTCCTTTTCAAGTTGTCTTTATCCTGTTAAATCTGTCTGACCTGCAAAAGATCTCATACGCAAACGATTTCTATACGCAAGAGTTCATTTGCAGATGGAAAGTTTCCCATCAGGCTCTGTTTCAAAACAGAGGCTTATGGTTACTCGAAAATACTTTAGGGGAGGGGGAGCAGGGATGCGCAGTGGTGAAAGCGCTCGCCTCCCACCAATGTGTCCCGGGTTCGATTCCCTGACCCGGCGTCATATGTGGGTTGAGTTTGTTGTTGGTTCTCTACTCTACTCCGAGAGGTTTTTCTCCGGGTACTCCGGTTTTCCCCTCTCCTCAAAAAACCAACATTTCCAAATTCCAGTTCGAACCTGGAATGCACGGACATTTCTGAACGAGTTCTTGTGAACTCCTTGGTGCTCCGTGGGTAAACAAATTACATATTTACATTTTTTTATTTACCTATTTTTTACTTGTCCTCCTTCGATTTCTCCGAACTGACCCAATTGTGAAACAAGGATTGTTGGTATAAACTAACCTCATGGATAGCTGCCTCCGTTTCTTGCCGAATTTTCGCCATTTTGTTGACAAACGTGGCTTCGCACTGTTGAAAGGAAGGCAAACTATAGGTGCCGTGGCAAATTGATCTAGTCCAAACAAACCTAGCGACTGCATATTTGATGTTAAACTGAAAAGCGAGTTTTTTCAAAAAAATTGATATTTTACCCGTTTAATAGCAATGTCCTTCTGTTCTCTCGCAATATCTATTTCCTGCTGCAATCTTGAGACCTCCTTTTCGTGCGCCTGAAAAATGGAAAAAATATGATAAGCATTAAATTTTATGGCCTTCTTCATTGTGCTTGTAACGTCGCTTGGTGTCCACTTGGTACTGGTGACATAGTTTCCCGCGTTTGCCAAAGGTTACATGTTTTCCCGCGCTTAGCGACGGCTGGTTGAAACCGTTTTTTGCGAGTACTGATTGGTTTATTGCGTCAATTGCGTTTGTTGCGATTAGCCAGCTCGTAATTATACTGTAGAATAGTTTGAACAAATAAAAACTTACCTCAGCTGCACTAGCTATAGACTGCATTAGTCTTTTACAGCGCTGTTCTGCGTCGTCTTTCTCCGCTTGACATTTTACCAATCTCTCCTTAAAACAGCGACAAGGAAAATAATTCATTTTAATAAATGAAGTTTTTGCTTGTACTCTTTGTAATAATCTACGAACATACTTTCTACACCTACTACTCCCCTTATAATACTGGGATTTTTTTCGGGGGGGAAAGGGGGTGGATGGAAGGGGCGGGTTAACTATGCCTGGATTTGAAACATCGCCACGGCTTCTTAAATAGTCAGCACGTAGCTCATTTGTCAGTCCCACATGTTCAACGGTCCCATAAATAGGGCTCCGAAGTTCACCAAAGATATCTCTGTTCAATAGCAAGAAAATGGAAAAACGAACCAGGTGAAAGTTCGTTTTTTCCTTTTCCAACTCTCTACACTCCCTCTGGTACATCTGTTCTCCTCCCATTTCATTTTGATGAGCGGGAGACTTCACATCATTTTGTACAGGGGATTTTGCACGTTCCTAAAAGAGCTGGACACAAACGAAGATGGTTTATTACCATTGGTAAACTGTAGAGAACTTGATCTGCCGGACTGAAACAGTGTTAATATTCATCCCCATAGAAAACCACAAACAAATTCCCGGCACTTTTCAAACATCAGGAACAAGAGTTCGTTATCTTGTAATTTACAAAAGTGTTTCAAAGTGTTTTACTTAAAAGTACCTCGAGTCTTGATGGGTTGACCATCACTGAAGGTAACAAATCCGGTCTGATAACTGGTTCAACGTCAGCTCTTGGAATGTTGGCTGATGGGGAACTGGTACCGAAAAGCCAGGTGCCTGGAACTAAAACAAAACAAAAAAAACACAGATGAAACACTGTTTAGGGGTCACTGCTAATCTGATGTGCAAAGAGAATGCTCAGGACCTCTGCTGAATTGCGGCCGTCCGTCTCGTACAAGTCGTAGCTTGTGGATACAGCTGGTTGTCAACGTTCTCGGCCGCTAGCTCACTATCAGGGAAAACCACTTCAAAAACAATGAAACCAAAGTGAGGGCTTGAGTAGCCGCTTTCTTGGAACAATAACAACAACCTTGGCTTACGAAGTTGTTCCAAGAACAAGCTCTCTCTGATCGTATGTCTTACTTTGCGCAGTGTGTCCCCAGGATCACACGTTATATTCGTGAAATATGTTGTCGGAGCGACAATAGCAACTCACCAGTGGTTTCAGATCTGAGTTCTTCACAGGAGTTGTGCTTACGGAGTCCCTGAAAAGAAATCGCAAAACAGACTTCAAAATAAAGCAATGTGCTGCTACTTGGAGAGGGTGTTGTGTCATGCATGGTTTCACGTCAAAACCTTATTGCCTATGGCAACGTGGACGTCTCGTCGCCAGATTTTGATTTCTCAATTTATTCCCCAGTCAGCACAATGGAAAATGCTTACTGCAGTTTGTCAGTGAACTGGCTGTAACTTTTCCTTCATTATCGTTAACCTGACAACACACTTATGGTCTGTAAAGGTTTACAGCCGCATAGCAGTCTGCACGCAATACGTGCCTATAACGCCCGCGTTCACCTAGCAACGGCGCAAAATGACGACCTTTCAACTCACCCTATCGAGGGATTTAGTCATATCTTGAACCCTTCTCATCAGCTCTGGTGTCTTTAAGGATCGTAGACTCTTTACCTCATTGCCTGTAGTTTAAACCAATCGGAAAGAAAAAGACGAAGTTGCTTGAGCCGTTGATGAAGACGTGGAAAAGGCCAAAAGCAACGTTTATCCAGCAATATCTAAGAATGGTTTTGATCTGCTTGAACATGATCCTCCAAAGAGTTTGCTAGGTCACTTGCTCATGTATTACCACGCGAACAAGACGGAGGAAGGCTGCTGTAGCCGTAACAATGACTTGACTTATCACTCTATAGTCTTGAATTATTTTCTGTACCCTGTAACTAACCTTTCGTCTTAGGACTGTCCGGCGGCATGTTTTCTGTGATATGTCTCACCACTGTAGCAACGTACAGCTTCAACATTGGATCCTTGGTCGGCAAACCTATAAAGAGAGGACCAATGTAGCATGTGCTGTGATTATGAACTTCTACGTTATCACGGCAATTCTAAGACAAGAGAAAATCAAGTTGATATAAAACTCGAGGAGTTAGAAAGTAGCTAATAAAAATTTAGATTAAGATTCAAGTACAGAGCGTCATACAAAAATAACAGTAAGCTTATAGAGCAAAATATTCATACATAACAAAAGTATAAAAAAATACAAAAAATTTAACTAAAACTCTACTATAAGCCAAAAACTGAATTTGGTGACCATTTTAAATTGGGGTATAGACCTTCCTTTATTCTCCTATCAGTCTCCTGTAGACATTTCCATTGCAAGAGAAAACTAATTTCCTGTGATACATGTGAAGCCTTTGGAAAGTTCAGTCTTGAGCACACCTCTCAAATCTTCAAATGTCTAGACCAGAAGATATCTGGAATTACACGACTGTGCAGCTTTCCTTGCTCACATAATTTGCAACGTTCTGATTAAATTACTTTGTCAGTCGATCAAAACTTTCATTAAATACCTTCAAAGAACTCAGGAGAATGATAAATCTTCTTATGAGCCTTACAGATTACCTGAAGGGCTTTGTAGCTTCTCTTGTAATTTCTGTACTGCAACATCCACTGCAACAACACATATGAAAGTTATACTTTAGACCTGAAGGCAACTGTTTAGTGACTGGGTCATGACTAGAGAAAAAGAGTTGGCAAAAAATTCGGTGATGTAAGGTCAGTGACTTGATATTACATGAAGTAGCAGTGGACAAGGTTTTTGTTGGCTAATTTTGAATTTGAATGCAGTAAACCGAAAATAGCAGAACAGTCGCCACGCAGCAAATTATACAAATTGTCTGTAGGTCTAGGAGTTCAAAACTTCTGAGTATTCTGCAAGGGAAACCTCCCAATCTTTTTCCTTTAAACATGTCATGATATTTTATGTGCACCTAAATTCTTCAAGACATTTCCTTGTAGACCAGTTGAATTTTAAATTATCACATCACGCAGTGATTCCCCTACACGTTCTACTTGTCACACAATCATACATGTATCTTTCATGATGAGCAAGCAACTGCATAACAGGCTTGATCACCACATGCCATCTCCTTACCTTCTACAGCTCTCAATAGCTGCACCAGTTCCTGCTTGCCACCAGAACGAGCTGCAAGGTCAGCAGCAGTCTCTACTGTATCTGTCAAGGCAAAAATGGGAACACCCATCTTCGGGGGAGGGGGGGATGGTAAAAGAAAGGAAAACAAGTTCATGATCCATTAAATACTCAGGCAATGGCTCAAAAGTGCCCAGTGTTCCTGAGATGTTGCACTATTCAGAGGCATAGCTAATAATAGCTCCCTCCCCCTCCTGGATCTAGTTGGGGTAAGATCAACATGAGACACAGATGACAGCATGAGTGGAAAACAACATGTAGCACAAGAAGAGTGATGTCACTTTAATCCACTTAAATCTACTAATGATCTGTAAATTTTGAAAACAATATTGAGCTATCTTGCTTGCATTCAAAATTAAAGAAGCAGAGTAAGACACCACCTCCCTGATAATGCTATTCTTATTCCTCTGTTATAAATGCTACTTCTCTTGTTTTCTAGGGCTAGGGGCATTGTTGCAACCTGTTTTCTGTTGTTTTTTAAAAGAACCAATGCAAAAATAAGTCATTTTAGAGGTAGTAGGAGAACAAAAAGAAGGGTTGAAACAAAATTACATTTCAAACTGTTTGGCAGGATAATCTGTTAAAGGTAAATTTATTCATCATCATTGTTTTGCTGCCTGACTGATAGCTAAAGGCAATTGACATTTACTGCATCAGTACCTGAATAAGAAGTTCACCACTCTCGACATGGCTATCACTTGAACCTTTCCTGGTGTTCAAAAAAAAGAGATGACCATTTTTGTTAGAAAACAAGCATCTCATCTAAAGATTGTGACTCAGGCAATGTTCAAGCAAAACAATTACGTGTGACTGGATTTAGCAAGTCAGAGTACTTTTCAGGGTTGTCATTAAGTTTTAACTCACCTGTAGCCTTGATCTTCACACCCATAGCAAACTTGTTACTTTATGGGTAAATTGTATCAACTACATACAGGCCTGTTCACCCATAACATCATGGGTGCATCAAACATACTCTGCCGTAACAGGTGTTATGGGTTACTGCCCTTATTGACAGCCCTGCTTTTGGCAGAAATCAAAGAGCCTGTGCCAGTTTACTTCCTTCTTCAGGTTATGCTCTTTCTTTGAGGACACAGCCCATGCTAGATAATCTTAGGGCTGATTCAATCTACACAATTTTCAGAATTGCTGCATGTGTCATGCTTACATTTTCATCACTGCACACAACTTGCCTTTAATAATGAAGAAATGATTTATGTACATAGCACTTGTTCAGTATTTCCATCATAATCCTGTGTTCCGTCTGTATTAAAGCTGTCATTTTCAAAAGTACCCAAAAATACTTTTAATCCATAATGATACCCCTGTATATTGATTTTTAATAAATGTCATCTCCCCATACTGATTCTATGCATTATATTAGACAAGCGTTGCTTCATAATGTAAATCTGAGGCTGTAAATAGACAGTTAGCATGCTTATTTACTAAAATTCACATACCAAGCTAATGCATGAAGAGGGGTCCAAGATTTCTAATGAGAAAAATAATAATACAAATCAGTGACAGAAAAGTACATGTAGATCAAGCTTCTTTAATTTATGAGGTGTGTAATCAATGTTATGATATCACTAAACATGTAACATCATTCACACTCACATTGTTTATTGCTGTTACATCTGCATTCCGTTCCTGTTAAACACAAACTTTGTACGTAAAAAGAATTTGAAAAAGCTCTTACTAGATGCATCTTTTCCATCTGTGTGGGGTATTCTTGACGACTATACATCACACAAAACAGCTAAACCTTCTGCTAGATTAATTCATTTGTTAATTATTGTATGCTTTTATGCTAGTTTAGTTTGTAAAAATTGCTGGGCCTTACTTGTTCCCAAAGAGATTGAATTACCCATAGTTAGTGATTGGCCTATCTTGACTGTGATTCATTGCCCAAGAAACAATCAAAGAAATGGAAAACATGAACAGATACAGATTGTATAGATCTATTGTCCAATGCAATATATTGAATGGCTCTACATTGTTGTAAGTGTCCCAATATCTTTAAGCTATGAGTGCAATAATTTATTCCTGTATCATGTTAACATTTAAATCATTACCATTAAAAGAGCCACACATGGAAGATGTCCACCTTCTGCCGCAAAAAATAAAGGAGTGTTCTTGTCTGTATCTGCAGAAATAATAAAACAGGTAGTAACAACATACTTAGTACATTGCAGTGAAAAGGAACTGAATGATGCACCATTCCAACTGCATGTTAATCATTGTCCTGTTTAATATAACATACATGCACAGCTAAAATTTGTAGAACACAATTGGCTAATGCTTGTTTCTATAGTGTCTGGCAGTACTGGCCGTCTTATACTGCAAAGCTGTAATGTCTCCTTGGATGCATTATGATCATGGCCTCTGTCATGATCTTTTGTTAGCAGAGATATTAATAAAAAAAAATGATATCTAAATTATGTCATTAATCATACCCCTAATATTCACATCAACATTGTCATTCAGAAGAGTAACCATTGAGTAGTGATCCCCTACAAAACAAGGGTAAGATATAATTATGCAACATGTGTTTCAGAAATATGTACTGTACAAGTGTCTGGATCTAAAGATTGTCTCGCATACAAAATGTTTGTAGTGTAGAGGATGTAGAGGACTAGGCTGGGAGAAGAACTCGGGTAGCGTACTCCCTCATATGGGTTATATGGGTACGTTCAGCCCTAAAGGGTAATGTTTTTGAGCAATTTTGGTCTGAAAAAAAGGGTATAGATTTTGACCATTTTGGTCTCTTATATGTTTATGCAAATGCAAGCTGTTTCTGGTTAGCTGTGACCAGACATTAGCCCAAAGACCGGCTGACAAAAGAACAATTAGAAGGCATTGTGTACAAAGTGACCTGTAGGACATGTTCTTTCACATATGCCAGGGAAAGCAGAAGAAATTGGAAATCTGGGGGGGCCGAACACAAGCCCAGAACCAATGGAAATGTCAATTCTGCAATTAAACAGCATGTGGAAACCGGCCACGATATACACCCTATTTACACCAACATTCTTGAAACAGGTGTGAGCGGCAAGAACAAAAGACTGTTTCTCAAATCGTTGCACTCTTTCTTAGACAAAAACTTCGTAAATGAAAGAGCACCGTTCCCAAGGGTTTATGCGTCACTGGTTGCCTCCCTAGGGGGCAATGAACAATAACGTCCCAGCTTATTAAAATTCTGTGAATCGCACGATATCATCATTCTCTGAAGAAGATCGCAGAAGGCGGTCGAAAATTTAGAGACAATTTTCCTTTTTTAGATCTGTTTTAAACGTTTTTTAAAGAACTACATGTACAGTGTATGAGTACAGATCGCTCTAACAGTTTTATTAGAGCCATGTACAGTATCAAGGTTTGGGCCGCACAGGTAGTCCATCCACCAAAAACTTTGGGGAATACACCCCCCCCCCCTCCCCCACCCCCAGAAGGGGAGAAGAAGGCATTAGTCCACATTCTCATTTGTTTATTGTGAGCTCCTCCTCTCAGCCTCTTCCACCCAGAAAGTCAATACCACAGGGCTTGACCCCTTTGCAACGCACCAATTTGAGTAATAAGCAGTGGCATGCACATACATGTAATCAGTAATTTTCTGGGACCTGACTTCACCTGGCTGATATTTTGACAGATATTTTTGACAAAGTATGATAATAACTTAAGACTAAAAAAAACTGATTTAAGATAAATTTAATATTTTCTTACCTATCTTGGCAGCTTCAAACAAGGACTCTTTCTTTTGCTCTGGGGTTAGACGACTGACTGAAGGTACAACTACAAATGTATCTGATCTCACAGAAGACATGGAATCACCTAGCACAAAAGCAACTAAACTGCTGTCACACAAAATGCACAATATTACAAATTATGAAATATATCAATAAGTTATTCTATAACCTGCATTCAGATATTCTTTTTGCCTCATCATTGCACTGGTTAGCCATTACATATATAATTATAATGGAGGTACATGATAACAGGGTATGCCCTAGTTACATTGGGGCAGGTTTAGGAGCCCAAAAGTCAAAAATAAAGATAAGTGACTTGCATTCGGATCATGAGGTCAGCTGGAGTCAATTCTATTCCCTGGCCAAAGACAAGTGTTCTTGGCAAGACAATTTAGTTTAAAATCATTGCATGTATAATAGTGCCGCCCCCTCTTCAAGAGCATTACCAACAAAAAACAATACGACAACCTGGAAAAAAAACACCACTAGAGGCATAGCATGTAAAAGACTAGCATCCCATCCTCGATAAATTTGGTTTGTTTAGTGCTTGCGTTGTTTCATAGAAAATAAGAACTATTCATTAAAAATAATATTCTGGGGAATATTTCCTACTGACGACTAATAATTTAATAACTAATTAATAAATAATATGATTGTCAGTCATTTCACTGAAATTTAAAATGTAGTACTACATTTACCTCTTCCAGTTCTGGCCTCTTCAATAGCTGAGAGAGCTTTCTGTGTACTCAGCTCATCCTCTTTTTGTTTAAGAAGACATCTTGTACACACCTGTAGCAAACAACTTCCAGATCACAAACCTTCAACAATCTCACATTTATTTACTTTTATTATTTGTACTAAGCAAATTACTTCATTTTGATTGGCTGAGAGCAGGTCAATCTTAATGTTAATTTTTAGTTTGCACGGTGCACAATGCATTTTAACACATGTTATTTTGAATTTGCAATTTTCTCAGTCATAATAATATTATAATATATTGAATAATTGTATGAAAGCTTGAGCAATTAAGGAGTTACACTACCCGTGATATATGAAAATTCTTTCAAACTATACCCACCTGAGACTCATGCAATTCTGAGATAGGTTTCAAATATCAATCATTTTACCTTAATTGCACTCGCATTCGTATGGTTACCTATCTTGTGGCACTAAATTTTTGCATGAGTTTATTTTTGTGAATCGGCAATTTTATTGTATTTTGCAGGAATTAATTTTTGCGATTGTCAAAGATTGGTGTATCTTGCTGGGTACTAATTTTTGCGATTTTTGGGAAGTCACATTTAATCCAAATTGCAACATTTATGTATTTTTTCATTAAACTGCATGCAATTGACCAGTGAAACAACGTGACAAGATGTAAAAAAACAGTAATCCAGTAATCAGTGCCACTCTGTTCCAATAACATCGTTCTCTTCTCAACGGTCGGGAGTACTTTCAGATGATCCTTTCCTGTAAACATGAATGTTTTGTTTCTCCTTTCATAGTTTTGTTTCTAGTGGTCAGATGAAAGAGATGTTTTAAATAAATGACAGCAACAAGATTCTACTTATGATGTTTGAATGCATTTGCTAGTGGAGTGAATTCTAGCGGATAAAATCTTTGTGGGAACTATTTTTTTGCAGAAAATTTTTCTCTGGATTGCGAAAAAAAAAATGCAAAAATTGCATAAATTAGACAGAACCCGCAAAAATTTAGTGCCACACATTTAATAAGGGTTAATGATAAAATAAAACAAATTACCTTGATAGCATTATTAACTACCACATGACAAGTAACACACACTGCTGCAGAACATGTCCGACAATGGGACCTTTGAAAAAAGGGAAGTTGAATTAAGATGTGTTATGTTTAAATCAGAGAGAAACACTTCTCAAGAGTATATTTTATTCGCAGTTCCATTTTTGTTGTATGTAATATTTTCTTTTGTGTGATGTAAATGATGAGCAAGAGTTTAATCTATAACAGTAAATGTTATGTTTAATAATATATCCACTGCGAAGACTGGAGGGCTCGCACTAAATGGTTTTTGGCATTAACTACAATGAGTACATGTAGTAAGCCGAAATTTA